CGGATAAAGGAGAGGGAAGAGAATGCTCACTTCTAAACGAATCTATATTTGCCAGATTGACCTTCAAGAATGTTAATGAGAGTCCTGAATCTGACAGAAAAATCAAAAAATCCAGGAGGAGGGAAGTGGAAGCAGACAGAGGCTGAACTCCTTGCTTTTGTGAAAAAATGCAAAAATGACACCACTTATAAATGTAAGAATGTTTAGTGGCAGGTCTCAGGGCAAGGTCCAAACTGCTCTTTACTGGTTGAGAGAGGGCTGAGGCTGGATCTGCCACGCCGTCAACCGGAACTGAGTGACCTGGGAGTACGGGACTGGGCTGTTGCCCATAGTCAGCAAGTCTGGTCTGAGTGGCAACTGAATGTAACAGCTGCCTGCAAGTTGGAGCAGAGTGACAAACCATGGCTGGCGGGGCCACCATGGTGTGATGAGAATGCAATCTACCTGCTCTGCTTGAAGACGAGAGACCACTCTGGACAGCAGTGGCAGTAGTGGAAAGATGTACAGGAGGGCGGATGTCCAATCCAGGAGGAAGGCATCTCCCAACAGCCTGTCTGGTGGAGGTAAGACGTGCTCCAAAGAACTGGCACTTCATGTTGGCGGGAGAGGCAAACAAGTCCAGAAGGGGAGTTTGCCATCTGACAAAGAGTTCCCATCCCTGGGAAGGATGAAGGGACCATTAGTGGTCATTATAAACTGTCTGACTGAGGGAGCCAGCAAGAGAGTTCTTGATGAATGGCACTGATGGTTATGGTATACCAGTCCCAGATTCTGATGAGGGCAAGCAAATCACAATTGTGGTGGTGGTGGTAAGCTGGACAATACTGTCCATGAGCAAATGACAGATAAGGTGCAGTGCCATTTCTACTGCAAGTAACTCCAAATAGTTGATGTGCTCTATGCCCTCTAGGGCCGCCCAAGGACCATGGATGGTGTGACCCTTGAGGCGAGCTCACCACTCTGAGAGGGAAGTGTCTGTTGCTAACATCGCCCACACAGAGATTGGAGCGATGAGTCCACTAGTTGATAGACCGGTGGATGGCTAAAGGGACATTGAGACATTCATTGGGCTCATCCTGCATGGGATGAAGTGCCCGAAGAAACCAATTCTGGAGAGGCCGAAGGTGCAAACAGGAGAAAGGAGTGGCAGCTGTGGTGAATGCCATGTGTCCCAAAAGGCACTGGACATCCCTGGCATGGATGTATGGCTTCTTCCAGACTCAAAGAGCTAATGAATGCAGAGTCAGAAACCTGTCTGAAGGCCCTTGCATGCCAAGAGTCCAATACAGGCCCAATGAATTGGTTGTTTGGATAGGCTGAAGAAGAGATTTTACCTTGTTGATAAAAAGACCAAGCTCCTGCTATAAAGACAGAGTAAAGTGAATGTTCCTCTGTAGATACTCACAGAACTGTGCACCAACAACCAGCCATCAATATAGGGGCAAACTACCACCCCGTGCACCCAGGGATGAGCCGGCATACAGCCATCTCCTTAGTAACACCTGTGGAGCTGTGGAGATACCATAATGAAGAACTTGAAATGAAAAGGCCTGACTGCTAGTAAAAAGTGACAAAAATCTACTGTCTTGTGGTCTAATCACCACATGAAAATAGGCATCCTTCAAATCAATGCTACTGAACCATGTCTTGCTGGATAACAGAGGGAGGATGGTTGGTAATGACAACATCTGAAATTTGCAATATGCAATATATGCATAAAGTCCTCTAAGGTCCAAAACTGGCCAAAGCCCACTGCCTTTCTTGGAAACCAAAAAGTATTTGGGGAAAAGGGAAAAGAAGGAAACATAGAAAGATGTAAAGAAGCTACTGCTCCTTTTGAAACAAAGTAATTACCTCCTACTATAACACAGGAGGAGGAGTGGCCCGTAGAGTCCCTACTGGGGACAGTTTGAGAAATTAAATTGCATAAACATGCTCTGTAATCACCAACACCCATGAGTGAGAAGTGATCTAATGCCATGCATCTAAAAATGATGAGGTGGAGCGCCAAAAACTGGAGCTGAAGGGTTGGAGGCTATTAAAGAAGAGAAAATGCATGCTAAAAACACTGTTGGCCCTGATCTTCTTCTTTCCCTTTAGTTTGTTGTCACCCCTGGTGGAAAAATTAAGTCTCCCAGCTACAGAGGCCCTAGAGTTCTGGCCCTGCTGAGGACTGAAGGAAGCAGGTCATGAAGGTTGATGATAATTAAGCTGAGGGGCTGGCCACCACAATCTAGGCTAGATTGTGGTAAAAAGCCAAACTTAGAAGCAGCCTGTCAAATCTTGTGCGTACTTTTGAAATGAGGGTCTGTATCAGGATGAAACAGACTATGTTCTGCCATGGGCAGTTATTCTGCCATTGCTCTGCCTTCTTTGGAGAGGGTAGAGGATCTCAGCCAACCATGCTGGTGGATGGCTGCTGCAACAGCAGCAAACACCTTTAGTACTGTATCGGTGCTGTGCTTAGCCATAGCTTTCTGATGAGAAGCTAAGGTGAGAGCTTACTGACAGAAAGCCCTTAGGATCTGTTGATGTTGTAGGGGAAGGAGATCCAAATAAAGTGCTGAGCTATGCCACAAGAGCACCTGATAGGCTGCCATACAAGCATGGTAATGAATCATGCAAGTGAGTAGGCTAGCAGTGGGGTGGATCTTCTTATCACAGTGGACTGACTTGAGGTGCCTTCGCTTTCTTGGATTAAACAACTTTGACCACAATAAAGTTCAGTTTAGTAGGCTTAACTAACCACTCTGTTGAAGAGGTGCCTATGCTGTAAAGTGCATTTACAAACTTAGAAATTCCAGCACAGATACAGGAGTTGCCTTTTGTTTTTCTCCAAGCTTAAGCAAGTATGGAAGTGCTGGGAGAACTGGGAGAACTGTACTTGGAGCTTGTTTCTGCTGTTGCTCAACTGAGAAAAGCAGATCCTCTAAGCAATCAAGGAGGAAAAATTAGGTAACACATCCCTTATGGAAGCTGGGATGGAAAAGTCCTCCTCAAGAGTAGGAGAAATCTGCTACTCATAGGAGTCAGAATCTACATCAGACTCATTGACTGGTTGCAGCTGAAAGGAAGCACCAGAATGAGCTTAGGAAAAAGTCTTATTAAACTCCTGAAAACCAAAAGAAGGGACTCCAAATCCTTGAGAAGGAAAGGAGGGTGCAGTTTGTGCCTATTCAAAATAGTAGCAACCTACCTGTTGAGGCATGGACCAAGTGGCAGATGGGGCCCAAAAGAGACAGTACTTACATTCTGAGCCGTCACTGAAGCTCCCAGGCGGCATGATGCAGAGGGAGGATGGTAGCCCGAACGAAGGCCCCTCCAAGGAGTTATATTCCATGGGCTTAGACCCAAAGCCTTGGCTAGCCATCACTCACACAGGTGGCGTGGCTGCCTTGAGCCTCCCCTCCCCTGAGGGGGGCAAAAGCATGGCAGGGATCGTTGCAGCCCGAAGGCCCCTCCAAGGAGTTATATGCCATGGGCTTGGACACAAAGCCTTGGCTAGCCATCACTCACACAGGTGGCGTGGCTGCCTTGAGCCTCCCCTCCCCTGAGGGGGGCAAAAGCATGGCAGGGATCGTTGCAGCGTCCACTGCCTGCTGGGGTAAATGGGGCAGGGAAAGCATGGGCAGTGAGAGCAAGCTGTCCTTCAAAAACAGAAACAGCTGAGATGCGTGGCTGCAACCCAAAACAAAGTTATTGGCACCAAGCCACAGTGGCATTTTGCTGCCACAAGCTCTACCAGTTCCTGGTTCTGTAAAGGGGTGGTAGGCTGTTTAAAAGTCTTCTTCCCTCCTGCTTTCTGAGCGAGGGGAACAGAAGAAAAGAAGGTAAGTTACTGCCCATTGCCAAAGGCAAGAAACACAAAGGGGGTGGGAGTCACCCTGGAGCAACTTCCCCCCATAAGCCATACATTTCAAAGAAAATGCCATACTGGCCTGAATAGGATAAACAAAGGTCCCAGAACACAAGTTGGAATTGCTGTCTGTTAGAGTAGTCAAACTGGAGTCCTTGAGTCAAACCAATAGTTGTTTTAGGAGAGAACACCGAGTTGTTGCTGCTTTCGCGGACAAAAGGAATTAAGGCTCCAAGCCCCGCTGCCTGGCTTTATTAGGAGTAGATGGGCGGGGCTGGAGTCCCTAATTAGGAAAAGCTTTCAAGAAAGATCCGAGTCAGCTGCGTGGACGCAGGGAAATACCACAGGTGTGGATTTCACAGTACCACGCAGAAGAAAATTGCATTGCATAGACCACATCAGCTCTAATGTCTTAGATATTGTTACCATAGGTTGTTGTAGGTTTTTTGACCCGAAAAACCTACAACAACCCAGTGATTCCGGCCATGAAAGCATCTGACAATACATTGTTATCATACTTTTGTATAGGTGAGCAGATGAAAGCTGGTACTGTATATGGCTGTGGTTCTCAACCTGTTGGTCCCCAGATGTTTTGGCCTTCAACTCCCAGAAATCGTAACAGCTGGTAAACTTGCTGGGATTTCTGGAAGTTGTAGGCCAAAACACCTGGGGACCCACAGGTTGAGAACCACTGGTATATGGCATATGTTTTGTATCTCAAAAACTAGAGGCGATAGGGGAAAACGGGTGCCATTTTTTGAATCAGCAGGTCAAACATACCCAGAAACAGGGCTAACATTTGTGGCACCAAAATGTGTGTTGGCCAGTGGTTCTAATCTAACTTCTACTCTTAGGTATTTTGTATAACTAGGCTACTATTGCAGAATTATTTCAAAAATGTATTTAGAAAAAAATAAGTATGAGGCATTTTATCTGGAAAGACTAATAAAAACAGTCAAATTGCAAAGATTTAGTACAGTCTGAAAGGAATGGAGATTAAGGCAACAAATCCCCCTTCTTTTATGTGTAATGCATAAAGTACATCAGAATAATAGCAGGCCATAAATACAGCCACAGCCATTTACATTTTGGCTACAACCGCTGATTTCCATAAGCATATCTATTAATGGAAAAAATAGATAGAAACTTAATCTACTTTGAAGATTCATGCATCACAAAATCACAAGGTTCAGAAAAACATGTTATGAAACAATATGTAAGCATGGAAGGTCCATAAAATAAAACCAAGATACCAAAATACAGGCTCTTTGCAAGATTCTGACTCTCACACCCAACCACAGAAGATACTTTCTCAAGTTTTGCCACAATGTGGAAAAAACATCCACCCTGTTAAAACAGAAAGTCACAGATGTATATATTACTATATATATAAAACTAGGAACAAAAAGCATGACACTGTTGAGAAATATCATAAAATTAAATGAGCAAGAAAAAAGGCTTTGAACACCAGTTACTTGCAATATTTATTCAATCCTTACAAGACGTCCTATAAAGGAATCTATTTTGCTATGCTATTGCACAGAATTCATGGATTTTGGTATCCACTGAGGGTCTGAAACCAAACTCCACTAGATATCAAGGACCCACTATATGAACCACCAAATTTACTTCTACCATTCCATCTAAATGCACTGCAAAAATATATTTGACAGGCCTCTAACTTAAAATAAACTTAAATCTAAAACAGTTCAGATGAAACACTCATAAACAAAGGAGGGAAAGGAAATGGTGGCACTGATAAGCAAGATCATGGCAGAATTTTGAGGATTTCAAGGCTATTAGACAGAAATGCTTTTAACCAGATCCATTTGGGTGAATGGAAATTTTAATACATAATTTTTCTCTAAAGCCTGCTGCCTCATATTCAAACTACAGTAAAATCTTGCTTATCCAACCTTCGCTCATCTAACGTTCTGTATTATCCAGCGCAGTCTGCCTCCTGCCTCAATCCACAGCTGTTTCAATGCATTGTGATGTTTCGGTGCTAAATTCGTAAATACAGTAACGTTACCATGTACTGAACTGCTTTTTCTGTCGATTTGTTGTAAAACATGATGTTTTGGTGCTTAATTGTAAAATCATAATGTAATTTGACGTTTAATAGGCTTTTCCTGAATCCCTCCTTATTATCCAACATTTTTGCTTATCCAACGTTCTGCCGGCCAGTTTATGTTGGATAAGTAAGACTGTACTGTATGTCCTAAATAAAAGAAGCTATACAATTTAACCCTTACATATACATATAAGCACCTGATTTGTAGAGATGTAGCCAATATGTGTGTGGGGGGGACGGGGACAGACACAACTCAGGAAAATCTTGCATTTCTAGAGGAAGAGGAAAAGAGAGAGAAATTGTTTTTGCTTTATTGCTGGACATTTTTAGTTAAGTTGTTCTCTAATAATATTTATTTGATTTTAGTTAACTTAGTGGTACAAAAAGGACACTTCCACATGGCAACAATTAGTATCATTAATAAATACATTCGTGGATTTATTATTTATCCATTTAAAATAGGTTTTTCTACAATATGAGCGCCTAAATCTACATATATTTACAAAGCAAATGTTTTCATGATGCCTGTTAGAGCTATCCTAAGAATAAGCCATTAGCTAGTATTGTTGAAGGTTTTCATGGCTGGAATCACTGGGTTGTTGTTGGTTTTTTGGGCTGTATGGCCAAGGAGATCATGGCCATACAGCCCAAAAAACCTACAACAACCCATTAAGTAGTATTCTTCCAAAGAAATTATTTTAATATCAATGGTTGAATCTTAATTGTTTTTGATCACATTCTACACCACTGTAGGTACTGTCTACGCAGCAGTATTAATTGGTTATTTCTCAGGTTGTTGGAAGGTATAATTTACTTTTGCATGTTTTGTTTATAGCAAACGTGTTTAATTTGGCACGTTTGGTTGCTCTTAATAGAAGTAATATCCAACTGACTAAAAATAATTGAAGAACCAATGCAGCTGCAAATTCCTTAGAATTTGCATCCTTTTTCATTGCAAAATCATGATGTATCTTGCCTTGTGTCAGGCATGGCATTTTTGTGTAAACTTGAACTCCCATGTATTTAGCTCTGGAAGCCCGCTGGTGTTTTATCCCTCCTGCCATTTGTGAGCCTTTCTGGCTTGTGAACAAGAAACTCTGGGGTTAACAGTTTTGGAACAAATAACACATTGAGAAATATAACTTTATGGCTCTCTCAAATATACCAGAAGTCACAATTTGAAAAACCTACATTTTTCTCTGTCTTCACATTTTCCTGTTAGTCATACACTTAATTGGCAGCTATCAGAATAATAGAATCATAGAGTTGGAAGAGATCACATGGGGCATTTATTCCAACCCCCTGCCATGCAGGAAAGGCACAATTAAAGTATCCTTGACAGATGGCCTAGAGCACTGATTCTCAAACTCTGCTCATCCAGATGTTTTGGACTTCAGCTTCCAGAAATTCCAGCCAGGTTACCAGCTGTTAAGAATTGTGGGAGCTAAAGTCCAAAACATCTGAGGGGGATAGTTTGAGAACCACTGGTCTAGAGTAAAACACTGTGGCATCATCTAGACTCACCTGGTGGACCTAGCAAATTCTTAGAGATGATTTGTCTCTGAGTGTGGATAAATGAAACAGTGGATATGGGTTCTGTAGGTTTTATTATATATATTTTTGAATAGCAAAGCTTGGCCATACTATTCATTTGTCTTTAAACCACCTTTGAAATTCCTCTCAATTTCAAAAGCTCCTTTGTGTGGGGTCTATACATCCTTGGCTTGTGGAGGTAGGTACCACCATCATAATCCTGATCCTCTTCTAAGAAATGTAGTTATTCTATTGTTTTTTTTCTTCAAAACTGCCACTAAGGCAGAACAGATGGAAATACTAAAGTCATGCATTATGATTCACAGTGCAACAGAAATATAAAACCAGTGCTTCATGGTCTGAACCTGAGATGCAGATCCATTTTTGCCATCTGACCCGAAAATGCTATTCTCTTGATCCTGTTCATGCAATGGGAGACATGCAACAAGAGAAGGTGAATGTACTCTGGGCACCAAGAATAGAGTATCCTAGGGAAGAGCGAAACCAGAGTGATAGAGCATATGTATTGTATACCAAAAACTCAATTTTCTGATCCTGGGCATCTCCAGGTATTGCTGGAAATACTCCTGTCTGAAACCCCGGAGAACTGCTACTCACCTTCCCATATTCCTGTCTATTGTATGGGGTCAAGTACTCATTCCATTCAGTTATGGTATGTCAGCAAAAGAACAGTGGCATCACCTATGTATGAATGCTTCTTTTTTGGAAGGTCCCTTCTGCACTGGCACAGGCTATTGTTAGCAGCCATAAGCTACCTTGTGGATGGCTATACCTCTATGCCAGGATGTTTTCAGCTAAATGTGTAACCAACACCTTGGAGAATGTGTTAAAGCCATCCTTGTTGGAGCACAGAAAGGTAAGTCAAATAATTAACACAAATGAGTGTTGTATTAGTAATATGTTCTGGCACCGTTTTGAAAAATGTCAGGAGGGAGGAGCTCGTATATGAGACCAGAAGGATTGAAGAAATATAACTACACAGAAAAGCAATAGTCACAAGGGCCAAAATAAGCTTGGTTTGCCTCTCTTTGGCAGAGTTTTTCAAAGCAAGCAGGAGCAGTGGTACTTGGCAGGTGGATACTCAGATGCCACAAATTCATGGCAAACCTGAGATACCTTGGCAGAAGGCCGCATATTGTGGCTATTTATCCAACCACAAGAAGCATGGTTCCTAGGTTTATGGTTTTCCAGACAGTGGAAAATTTCTACTATGCAAATGCCAAGGTAATTTTTGAAAGCATCCAAGTGACTGTATGATTCGGGGTGGCATTTGACTCTGGTCTGTACAAGATTCCCAATACAATACAATTATCAGGATGATCAAACTACACATAAAATATCTCTTTGTAGATAGAATTGCAGACAATGTGACAGAAGAAGACCAATCCTATATAATGTATATAGGATTGGTTTAGAAATTGTTGTTAGAAAAACTAACCCAAAAAAAACCTGGGCCGACTTATCCATGAGTCAATGCGATTACTGCACCTTAACTCTTCTGAAAAAAAGAACAATCCTTTTCTCTGAATAAAGTGGCAAAAGGTGTGAGCTTATTCTGTCTCAGGAGAACTGACTCTCCCTATCTTTCTGAATGCTGGGGGGTGGGGGTAGGATAGGAGGGAGACAGTAGTAGTGACCAGAGCCAATTGGCCCTGTGGTGGCACTGGGAACTTCCTCCTTTCCATGGAATGACACCCAACTTATACACTTATTTATAAGTCAATGTATAAATCATATATACTTCATAAACTCAGTAAGTGACCTTATGCATGAGTATATATGGTAGTTTAGTTTAGTTTTGGAAAAACTGCTCAAATCCCGAGGATGAAAAATGACTTTCTAAATTTAATTTCTTCCAATTCATTCTCATAATCAGGGCCTTAGCCCGGGGGGGGGGGGGGGGGGGGGGGGTTTAAAGTTCAACCCTGTCCTGAAATGTGTCAGGTTAAAAGAAACCTGGTTTACTCAAAATTGGTTAACCAGTTAAAATTCGAGTAAACCAGGTTTCGGAGGGTGTGGGGGGGGGGGCTTAGAATCGTTACCCCCCCCCCCCGGGCTACGGCCCTGCTCATAGTAATTGGGAGAATACAGGCAGTGCCCAAGTTATAAACAGTATAGATTTTGTAGGTTTGTTCTTAAATTGATTTTATATGTAAATCAGAACAGGAACATTTTTAGTGTAACACCACCTCCCCCCCCCCTCCCCACACACATATAGCTTTGGAAAGCATTGGCAACGGTTAACACCCCTGTATTGTTTGTTTTGCAGCCTGTTCAGAAGATTTCAGGAGAGAATGCTTCTAGAACATGGACATACAGCCCGAAAAACCTACAACAACCCAGATTTCACCTCCTTTTCTGTGCCCATGATAATTGGAATTTGAAAAATTTGGCTTCTTGTGGAAAAATCAACCTCTGAAGATGCTTACCATAGATGCAGGCGAAACGTCAGGAGAGAATGCCTCTAGAACATGGCCATACAGCCCGAAAAAACCTACAACAATCCGAATGGTGGTAAAGCTTCAGTGAGACATCTTTTCCCCCATGATAACCTTTCTGGAGTGAATTTCCCTTCCTGGGGGTTGATTTCTCTCACTTCGTGTTGTCTTACCCCTGTTCTTAACTATGAATCGCTTGCAAGTCTGATGTTTGTAACTCGGGGACTGCCTGAACACTAATACGCAATTTTATTCTACCATCACATTACTTTTAACGTTTAATTTCATGGCAACCTTATTACTACCTCCCCTGAAAATAACTTGTGAAAACAAAGTGAGAATCAAATGGAAGCAAATAAAGTGGGTTGAATCCACCCACAAATGAAGTGCTCAGTTTAGCAGATATCACACAAGCACTCTAAGCATCCGTTACGTGCAAATTCATATTGAAAGTGTTTGTGTGTGAGACAAAAAGAGGAAACCAGGTGTAGATTTGGTCACTAGCATGGCAAAATTGCTGTACTTGATTGCCTGTAAAGGAATTTGCATGGTGCAGATTGACAAAGCCCACGCAATTCACTCCCCAGGAACTCCACCCTTGTTTTCTTCCCACACCCAAGCCTCCAAGTTTGAAAATCTTCACCTTAAAGTGACATATTGAACAGTGATAAGAAATGTGCGCAGCAGTACTCTCTGAAGCCAGCAGAGTTCAAGAACATTACAGATTTGCTCACTTCATGCTATAGAGACGCAAGGGGGGGAGAGAGGCGTGCAGAAGGAAGCTGATTGCAATATCACAGAAGACACACACAGCATAGCAGAAGCCTCCTAAAGATGTGATGATACATCATTATGTGCCTGGCCAACTCCTACATTTTGAGCAGTTGGGTGTGTGAGCAGAAGGCTCTGGTCCTGCCCTCAGATGCACAGACATTGCTTTCTTTAACTCAGCAAAGACAACAACAGGATCTCCATTTAAAAATGTCTCAAGCTGTTTGCTCCAGTTTGCCCATCTCTTGCCAAAAGGATATGCAAACAGAAATCTCTGACACAGATTTGTATTACTGCCACTAGAGGAGGGCAGAGGGTGAGAGGTCTGCCTCTACCCACCTCCTTTTGCTTCATGCAAAAAAGGGTAGCTCAAATGCACAAGAAAATATCTAGGAAGCCTTTTGGGAGCTTAACTTAACTGTATTTATTAGAGCAACACATTACAAAGAGCTCAGACCAGCTACTGGACAGTTCCTAAGTGGTCTCCCACCCAAGCAGATCAAAGAACT